TTTCGCTATTTTTCAAAATGACGTCTTTGTCGATTTTAATAAATTGTAGAATTGTAGCACGAAAACGTTACTTCGAAATTATGTCAAACTTGTAGAGAAATATAAAGTCGTCTTTCTGGGTTCTGGGGATATTTTTTTGTAATTTTGAGTAAACATTAAAAAAAAAAGTGTTTAAAATTCAAATATCTCAAAGTATATCTCATACAAAATGCATACTCTTGAAATATTTAAAACCATGGACACTTTAAAGTTGATTAAAATCGTTGAAGAATAACTTTTGGTCAAAATTGTTAACTGTTTGCAAGTACGCCAGTCGGCACACTTGCGGCACACTGACAAAAAAGATGACCCAAGATTGGTGTGCGGAGTGATCTACCCCTTGTAGTACGCATTTTATGTAATTTCTACACAGGAAACAATATTTGAGACATTCTAAATCGTCTAAATCGTGGTCGGAGGTGAGGCCGGCCGGCAGCATGTAAGGATGCACAACAAAAATTAGCTGTGTTTGTTCACATCGACTGATACTGAGTGCTTGCGGTACAAGCACATATCGTCGATAATAGACGATTGTTGTGTATTAGAGAACGCTTGCGCAAAAAGACTAGGGTGGGAAACGGATCCTAAATCGTTATCTGTGCAAAATAATCTGTGTTTAAAAATCTGACCAAAAGTCGATGTTCTACGATTTTTGTGTCCATGGTTTTAAATACTCCAAAAGTTTGTATTTTTCATGAGCTTTATTTAAAAAAAAAACAGATATATTGTTTTGAGGTATTTTAGTTTTTAACACTTTTTTGGAGTATCAACACAAAATTTAAAAAAAACGTGTATATTTTTCCCAGAAATACTAAAATTAGTATCAGACATAATTTCGATCAGAAGTGACGTTTTCGTGATACAATTAATTGAAAAATGTAAAAGATGCCATTTAAAAAAATACAAGATCCAAAATGGCTGATTTTTTGCAAATATGCGAATGATTGTCCATAGCAAAAAAATATGCAAAATTTAATGCAAATCAGAGCCATTTTTTTGTCCTGGTCTAAAGGTAAATATTGGTACTTTTTCATATATTCATCAACAAATAAGGTACACCGGGCAAGTTGAAACTCGCGGGGAAGTGCTCAAACCATTCTATTTAAAATATCTATAGATTGAGGTTTCTCATTGTTTAAACAGTTTATTTCAAACAAATTTCTAGTGGTTTCGGATAAGGTACACCGGGGCAAGTTGAAACGCACTGAGAAGTTGAAACCGTAAGTTTATCTCCTAGCGGAAGTGAATATTCATTGTAATTATTTTTGAGAGACATTGTGTACTACTGCAAACTAAAATCTAGAAATAAACTTACCGTTTCAACTTACCCCGGCGTACCTTACCCGAAACCACTAGAAATTTGTTTAAAATAAATTGTTTATACAACGAGAAACTTCAATCTATAGATATTTTAAATAGAGTGGTTTGAGCTTTTGATGGATATTATAATCATCATAGTTTCTTTAGCCGTCTCAACTATGTTGTTTTACTATAAATGAATCGTGAAATCAAATCATCCAAATGTTAAAGACACATTTGCTACAATGATCCGATAATTTTGTAAAATAGGTTTCTGCCGCCTATTTTCTACTGTGTCGCGATGGTATTACCTATTATAAAGTTTAAGATCACCAGGTTTTACACATTGAATATGATACCTAGTCCCAAGCACCATCTGTTGGTTCTCTGTGTGATTACAGGTAATCTGGCAATAACAGAGTAGCAACCGGGGGCGGTCAATCATGCTCATGCTCATACGCGACGGAGTTTTCGACCCGGAACATTTAACAGCCCATTCGATCCAGAAGTGAACGTCTCGACGCCAGTGTATTAAGTTTGATTGGTTCTAGATAGAGCTGGAATTAGGGCGTGACCGCTTTTGAAGACAATGACTTCTTTTGATGATTTCTAGAAAGTTAAGGCTTGCCAACGCAAATAAACAACACCATCGGGTAGGGGAAGAGTTCTCCTACTCAACGGTTATGTTGGTTTGCGTGGGCGTGCCTTGAGTTCCTAGAAATCATCTATAGAAGTCATTATTTACAAAGGCTGTTACGCCCTAATTCCAGCTCTATCTAGAGTTGATAACAAACTATCTTTGTTCAAACAGAGGAAGGCTGGTCGGGTGGTCCCATGGAAGTCGTCATTTTGCGAAGCGTTGGACTTTCTTTATCCCGTTTAACTGCGTAAAGTGATAAAGAGCCAGGGGAGTACCCCCAACAATCAATACGAAACTAACGATTTTAAATTGGCTCACTACTTGACTAGCCTATTGGTCCCAAGCAAACGATTAACGTATCCCATTCTAGTCAAAAGTCTAGTACTATGCTATGTTTGTTTTGATTCGCTATGAAAGTTTGACAGATAAAATGAGGGGTTCGTGGATTTTCTTATGTTTCGAGGGGTGCATCAATTAGCTTGAGACCGAAGCTCGGACCGAAGAGAGTACCAGAGCTGAGCCAAAAAGTTGAGCACGTTTCTTCGGGACCTTCTGGTCTTAGAGTTACCTCTATGGTACCCCAGATGGCATAACGACCATTTTACATAACTGCTATTTTACTTATACCGATAAATAATTCTTTTACAGGGGTTCAAATTATGCGGCAAGTCCTTCTCTGATTGCCTGCGCATAGAAAAGTGTGTGCTATGGTCATCAAAAGAGGAAATTGATGAAGAGAATAGGCTTTCACCCCTCTGCTTCTAAACCCCTTAATTCAGTCGTTGTCATAGCAATGAAAACTAGTGTCCCGCCGCTTTTAGTTCTTGGGTTACACTTGCTGGTTGCAATTCTGCTGTTCGACATTTTCGAGAGACCACAAAAAACATGAAATTACAGTTTTTTCTAGGGATGTCTTAATGTCCAATTATTCGATTAGCGATTAATCGTAAAGATTTTTCCAACTATTCGATTAAATATTTATCGAATTTTCAATTATTCGAGGGCGTAACCGACATACCTTCTTATTTCTATTAGTTTGATTTAGCGCAGTAGAGAAAATAAATAAAAGTACTAATTTATCTGAATAGAATAGAGAAGAACCATGACGTGAAACACGATCAAAAATTCGCCGAAAATAGTTTTTTGCGTATTTCTGCTAAAGCTAAGATTTTCCAACTTGTGAGCGAAGGAGTTTAACAAGAAAAACTAAAAAGGGGAGGAGCTTTAGTTAAATTTCTGAACATGTCCCAACTAAGATTCATTTCAAAAGGTTCTTTTCAGGGCAATGATAGTCATACTAAAGAGTATAAACAAAGAGAACCCCGTTCAAATTCCTATTCCTACACAAAACACAAGCTCCTGCTGCAGTTAACAAATAACATTTATTATATAAGAGCAAGCCGTTGCGTTACGATCCAGTTTTCGATCAAATTCATCGGTTGACCGGAAGAATGTAAAATCAAAACGAAGTCGAAATTCCCCAAAAAGTTCCTTGTCTGGCAAGCAATCTGCAGTTGTGGGCTGAAAAGCGAAACTTTCGTTACTTCTGGGACCATGATCTAACGAATTTACCACGAGGAGTGCCTACAGAAGAGACTACTGCCTTTTCTGGAGCAGCATGAAGTGGATTGCCTATTCTGGCCGGACTTGGCAAGCTGCCACTGCTCAAATTTCATCAAACAGTGGTAGGTACAGCGAAAATGGCATCACAGTGGTTCCCAAGGAGATGAATCCGGCCATTACTCCAGAACTAAGGCCAATCGAGGAATACTGGTCAATTGTGAAGCACATACAGAATAAAAAGGGTGGAACTGTAATTGACCTGAAGTATTTCAAGCTGAAATGGAATTTGGCAGCCAAACAAGTGGGAACAGGGCTCGTGCAAAAGATGATGGGTCGTGTACGAAGAAAAGTTCGAGCAATGGCCTATGATAAGAAGGAAGACTGAAACAATGGTCTTACAATAAGCGTAATACCTACTAATGTATAATAGTTATAAAAATAAAACGCATTTTTAAACCCCAACGTGTCCGGATTTTTTCGTGTTCAAACTTTAGTTTTCGGAATCAAAAATAATATCTGAACTCTGCTGATTTCTCTATCTTTGCTGGTATATCAACGGTATATTGTGAAAAAAGGAAAAATAACGATGCACTCAATTATTACTTTGCACGTACATCGAATCGAAACGAAACGTCATGTTAAATGTTACTTAGTGGCACGGGATGCAAGATATTCGATGTATAAAACCAGGTTGCCTTCCATTCATTTTGGCTAAAAAATGTTTTATTAAATTATAGTGTTCCGTGCGAAACAAGCTATAGTAGCTTCCAAAACACAACGCAAACGATCGTCATTCAAACCACCCATCGTGGCAACAACGCACTCCAGGTAGAATTTTAAGGACACCGAACGAGAAGGGAGAAGCACTATATACTTCTCTTCAACATGCTGCTGCCTGCTGCTCGCCGTAGCGCACGGCAGGCAAGTATATAGGACCAAAAGTAGCAAAATACGATAGGACGACTGCTATAAAAGCGACACAGCCAGCCAGCGTTTTTTTGAGTATTATTCCGACCACCATCCAAGTTACATCCAGTGAAGTAAGAAAGCAATCTGTAGAGAAATAGTGAACTAGTTAGAATAAAAGTAGTGTTAAGGTGATAATTTGATTAGTGTGTTGAATCTTTCAATCCGAACGAAATACAGTCCACTTTCAACCCACCGGAGTTGGCCACGGTAAACGCGCCAACATAGTGGTCCTTCGAGCCGGATCCAGCGCCGCCCGTAGGAAAGGATTCAACACCATCGCCACTCGACCGAGTGTATTCCGACACGCTTCCGTGGTGTGCCAACCACAACGTGTACCGCCAGGAGAGGAATCAATTATTGATCACCGCCGCTTGCGAATCCGATTCGCAAGTTTCAACCCGCCCGCCGAAGGATTTTTCTACAGAACCGCTATTCCGAAACCATACGTGCTCGTGCTGTGTGTAACGTACGACGTGACAACGAGTTCATTATGCCAGTGGATCGAACCCCGAAAGGTAAGCCTGCTGCTAAGGAAGCAGTTGAGGGCACAGGCAAGGAGAAGCAGCACGACGAGTCAGCAATATTCGAAGGATTTGCAGAATGGGAAATCAGTGCTGATTCCGAAACCGTGAAGGAAATAACGTCGCTTTCCCGCCAGCGAGACCAGGTCACCATGAAAGTAGTGCGTGTGCAAAGGGCGCTTGTTGCCGCTCGAAACTTGGTGAGCCTCTCACAACTCAGGACGTACATGAAGAATATCGATGTGGCCTACAACGAATACAGCGCAGTGCATAGCAAACTGGTTGCTATCATTCCCCAAGAAAGTTTTCAACAGCAGGAGGAAGTTTATGTCGCATTTGAAGACCGATACAACTTCGTCCGCACGACCATCGATGAGCTAATCATGGCACACGAAAATGCCAGTGTTCGTTCTCAAGCCCCGCAACAACAAATCATCGTCCAACAGCAACCGTTGAAGGCTCCAATTCCAACCTTCGATGGTGATTATGCCAACTGGCCGAAGTTCAAGGCCATATTCCAAGACTTGATGGCCAACTCAGGAGACTCGAACGCGATCAAGCTGTATCATCTGGACAAGGCTCTGGTTGGTGCAGCAACAGGTGCTCTGGATGCCAAAGTAATCAGCGAAGGTAATTACCAGCAAGCGTGGACCATTCTCACCGATCGCTATGAAAACAAAAGGATCATAGTCGAGACGCACGTTCGTGGTCTGTTCAACTTGCAAGGAATGTCATCCGGATCCCACAAGGAGGTGCGACGTCTGCTCGATGAGTGCACCCGCCACGTCGAGAGCCTGAAGTATCTTGAACAGGAATTCCTCGGTATTTCCGATTTGTTTCTGGTTCATATGCTGACGACCGCCATGGACAACACGACCAGGATGGCATGGGAAGGCACACAGAAGAAGGGCGTGCTACCCAAGTATGCGCAAACCATTACGTTCCTGCAATCGAGATGTGAAATGTTGGAGAACTGCGAAACAGCTTTCCAGAAGGTTAATGCGCAGCCCGCTTCCAAATCGACCCCGAAGGTACAAGCATTCCAACCGAAAGCAAGCAACCCGAAGGTCCATGCCGCCGCAACCACACCAATCAGCAAGGAGGTTTGTGATTTCTGCCAAGGTGCACATCGCAACTACCAATGCAATGCGCTTGGTAACATGTCCTTTGACAAACGTATGGAGAAGGTACGCACAACTGGTGTGTGTTTCAACTGTCTGCGCAAGGGGCACAGCTCCAAGGAGTGTTCATCACCGAGGTGCTGCCAAAAGTGTCAGAAACGGCATCATACACAACTCCACAACGACGAGGTAAACCGAGAACCGAAAGCCAACGTGTCCGTTTCGAAAGAAGAGTCCCGCACAGTTCAACCGAACAGCACGGTAGCAAACCCGCCATCCGGAAGAGATATACCGAGCACATCCTGCTCGTGTAACTACGCCGATTCCACGAAAACTGTGTTCCTGCTGACAGCGGTTGTCAACGTGCTGGACGAAAACAATCAACTGCATTCATGCCGAGTACTGCTAGATAGCGGCTCTCAGGTAAATTTCGTAACAAACAATTTTGCAAATCTTTTAAGAATTCAGAAGCATCGTGTCAACGTTCCAATCTGTGGCATCAACGACGTCAGGACTGTAGCCCACGACAAGGTGATGGTCAACATCCGATCTCGACTCACCGACTTCCAAGCACACGTGGAGTGTTTTGGTTACGCCCAATGTGACAGGTGTCATCCCGCCAACAAGAATCGACGTGTCATCTTGGAACATTCCCTTCGGCGTCCAACTAGCCGATCCGGAATTCTACAAACCGGACAAGATCGATATGCTTCTTGGTGCAGAGTTATTCTTCAAGTTGATGCGACCAGGACATATCAAACTCGACGACAGCCTTCCCGATCTCCGTGAAACCTGCCTTGGATGGGTTTTAGGCGGTGTATTCACTAACACGATCCACGCCAATCAACCACAACATTCGCTCATCGTATCGTTGGATGACATCGAGGAATCCATTCAACGATTTTGGAGGCTCGAAGAGGTGCCAGATTCGAGTCCTCTGACGAAGGAAGAACAGGAGTGTGAAGCCCATTTCGTCGCCACCCACCAGCGTGATGAAAATGGACGATACCAAGTGAGGCTACCGTTCAAGGATAACGTGCACGACCTTAGTGACTGCCGAGCGGTTGCTTTGAAGCGATTCCAGATGCTGCAGAGGAGGCTGCAGCGGAACCCCGATTTGAAAGAGGAGTATGTTCAGTTCATGCGTGAGTATGAAGAGCTGGGACACTGCCACGAAGTACGAGAAGAAGACGATCCACCGCACCAGCAAAACTACTACCTGCCGCACCATGCGGTACTTCGCCCATCAAGTTCGACCACCAAGTGCAGGGTGGTATTTGATGCCAGCGCCAAACCAACAGTGAACAACCGTTCACTCAATGAGGTTCTACAAGTGGGTGCAGTGGTACAGAAAGAACTCTATGACGTCATACTCAGGTTCTGCAAGTACCCAGTTGCATTCACAGCCGACGTGCCGAAGATGTATCGACAAATCAAGATGCATCCAAGGGACACACACTATCTCCGTGTTTTTTGGTGTGAGCAGCCGTCAGAGCCACTCCGAGTCTTGGAGCTCACGACGGTTACATATGGAACAGCATCGGCTCCGTTCCAAGCTACCAGGTGCTTGCAGCAGCTCGCCGATGATGAATCAACCGATTTTCCGATCGGTGCGCAAATCGCCAAGGAGGATTTTTACGTCGACGATGCACTTTCCGGTGCAAATTCACTTCCGGAGGCCCTAGAAGCAGCAAGGCAGCTGGAAGGCTTACTGAAGAGAGGAGGGTTTTCGCTGCACAAGTGGTGTTCCAACTCAAAAGAGTTTTTGGACCACATTCCAAACGATCGACTGGAACAGCCCGTTCCATTGGGAGAATACGGACCAAATGGAGTCATCAAAGTGCTAGGCTTGCTTTGGGATCCAAAAGCCGATCATTTCCTCATCGCAAGGCCGCCACAATGTGATTTGAATCAACGATCAACGAAGCGTATCATCTACTCCGAGGTGGCCAAGCTCTTTGACCCGTTAGGACTTGTGTCACCAGTGATTGTCGTCGCCAAGCTACTAGTGCAACAGCTGTGGAAGCACAAGATTGGCTGGGATGTGCCCGTCAACGACTCGATACAGGAGCGATGGGTTGAATTTGCAAATACCTTGCCAGCACTCGACAAAATCGCCATACCAAGAAGAGTTACGTTCCACGACGCCGTGTCCTACGAAATCCACGGTTTTGCCGACGCATCATCATTGGCGTATGGTGCATGTGTTTATGTTCGAAGCCTGTTCTCCAACGGTTCCGCCAAGATGAAGTTGCTGAGTAGCAAGTCCAAGGTTGCTCCGCTACATGACCTTTCAACGCCTCGAAAGGAATTGTGTGCCGCATTGCTACTAACTCGACTCATTCAGAGGATTATCCCAGCCATGCAAATGGAATTCCGTGACGTGGTCCTCTGGTCGGACAGTCAAATCGTTCTGGCGTGGATGAAACGATCAGCCGATCGCCTCAAGATTTTTGTCCGAAACCGAATTCATGAAATCAATACCTCCACTGCAGGATATCGCTGGTGCTACATCCGATCTGGTGATAATCCAGCAGACATCGTGTCCAGAGGTCAGCTACCAAACGATTTGCGCAGAAACAATCTTTGGTGGACCGGACCAAGTTTCCTCACGAAACTCGAGTACGACGAAGAGGAGTTAGTCGATATCCCCGACCAACAGCTTCCCGAAATGACAAGCACCGAAATTGTCACTTCGGCTGTGGTGGAACAGTTTCCACTGTTTTCCCGCTTCAGTGACTTCAGGAAGATCGAACGCATCATGGCATTGGTACTTCGATTCATCGCCAACATCCGCACCAAGAACAGGTCACAACGTATCTTCAACCGGTACGTTACTATTTCCGAACTCCGTCGATCGAATTTCACCATTATGAGGATGGTTCAAGAGTCAGAGCTAGGTGACGAAATACGTCGTGTCCAAACCAACAAACCGTGCCGCAAGCTAGGAGGCTTGAATCCAGTGTTCGTCGATGGATTGCTTCGAGTTGGTGGTCGCCTGCAACATTCGAATCTACGAGCCGAGACGAAGAATCCGATTATCCTTCCGAACAGACATCCACTTACGAAGCAGCTAATCCGCACAATTCACATCGAGCATTTGCACCTTGGGCAAAATGGCCTGATTGCTGCTATGCGCCAGAGGTATTGGTTGCTGAGCGCCCGTTCAACCATCCGGCAAGTGACCCGCAATTGTGTAAGATGTTTCCGCACAAATCCAAATATGTCAACGCAGCTGATGGGCAATCTTCCTCAACCGAGGATAAATCCAGCACCTCCGTTTGCAGTGACTGGTGTCGACTACGCCGGCCCATTTTGGATCAAGATGGGAAATTACCGATCCAGGCTCATCAAGGCTTACGTGGCAGTATTTGTTTGCATGGTAACAAAAGCAGTGCATCTCGAGGTCGTGTCTGATCTCACATCCGACGCCTTCTTAGCTGCGCTACAACGGTTCATCAGCCGAAGAGGAATGGTGCAACAGTTGCATTCTGACAATGCCACCAACTTCCGAGGAGCACAACACGAGTTGCACCAGCTATATCAACAGTTCCAGGATCAGCAGTTCACAGGACGTATCCAGTCCTTCTGTCAGCCAAAAGAGATCGAGCGGCATTTCATACCGCCGAACGCACCCGAGTTCGGTGGCTTGTGGGAGGCCGCTGTAAAATCGACAAAGAGACATTTGGTCAGAGTGGTTGGCTATTCCAAATTGTCATTTGAAGAGCTAACAACCATACTCACCGAAATCGAAGCAGTTCTCAACTCTAGGCCACTGTTTTCGATTTCTTCCGAGCCAGCCGACATAGAGGTAATTACGCCAGCTCATTACTTGATTGGTAGACCACTTACAGCCGTTCCGGAACCATCCCTTGAAGACATCCAAATTAATCGTCTGAAAAGATGGCAACATCTACAGAAGATGCGTGAGGATTTTTGGAAGTCTTGGTCCAGAGATTATTTGTGCAGCCTTCAACCGAGGTCAAAGAATACCAAGACGACATCCAACCTTCGCCCAGGAATGGTAGTTCTACTGGAGGACAAAAATCAACCACCGCTTAACTGGAAGCTAGGCCGCATCATGCAGGTATTCCCAGGGCCAGATGGATTGGTCCGAGCCATCGATGTGTCGTCTAACGGAGTTACCTACCGACGACCGATCAACCGGATCGCAGTTTTGCCGATTGAGGACAACGAGCCACCAACCCTGAGTGATGTTGAATCTACGAGTCAACCGGGCGGAGTATGTTCCGTGCGAAACAAGCTATAGTAGCTTCCAAAACACAACGCAAACGATCGTCATTCAAACCACCCATCGTGGCAACAACGCACTCCAGGTAGAATTTTAAGGACACCGAACGAGAAGGGAGAAGCACTATATACTTCTCTTCAACATGCTGCTGCCTGCTGCTCGCCGTAGCGCACGGCAGGCAAGTATATAGGACCAAAAGTAGCAAAATACGATAGGACGACTGCTATAAAAGCGACACAGCCAGCCAGCGTTTTTTTGAGTATTATTCCGACCACCATCCAAGTTACATCCAGTGAAGTAAGAAAGCAATCTGTAGAGAAATAGTGAACTAGTTAGAATAAAAGTAGTGTTAAGGTGATAATTTGATTAGTGTGTTGAATATTTCAATCCGAACGAAATACAGTCCACTTTCAACCCACCGGAGTTGGCCACGGTAAACGCGCCAACATATAGAATAATAAGATATTATGATGATATTTTGTATGTGTAAGTAACAAGAAAAGATTTTAATGTTTATGTTTCACTTGCAAATATATAGCTTTGGCAGATTTTCTAATCGCCTCCTCACGAAGAGTGGGTGAGATAAATGACAAAATCGCTTATTGCGACACTCATGCAGCAAAATTGGCAGGTATTATGTGTCAAACACAAACTTCACAATCTTTTCTTGTTGCTTTCACAAACAAAATATTATTATAATATCTTATTATTCCATAATTTTATAAAACACTTTTTATACAAAATGAATGGAAGGCACCCTTATAATAAAACCCTGCATTTTGTATTCTCTTATTCTTCGGAGTATTTTAAGTATCTAACATGTCGTTTCATTTGTCAATGATGCTGGGAGTCGAATTTCGAGCTGAAGGCCACAAGTAAGAACTTCGACCAAGCGCAACCTATAGACCTATGGTCCACGGTCATACATTGTTTACCTACTGGCTACTTACTGCTGCAGCATTTCTCCTGATGGTTCAACAACTGATATCGAGCTACGGCATTTTTTGGCGATTAAAAGTACCTATTTTTCGTATGTCCATAATGGTCTTGTGATACTTTCCGTTCATCCAGAGCCTTTTGATGTTTATTTTTATAACAATGCTAAACATCAACAACAACATGCTACACATCAAATGAAACAGCGAAATTAGGCAAATAAAAAGACAAACCAAATAAAACAACCAAAGTATGTTTCATTCAAATTAGCTCGCCGGACACTGCCGACTCGCTGATTTGTGTTTATTCAGTTATTGTATGATACGGGTTTTTGTTTGTGATTTGCATTTTGCAAATAGTTATTTACAATAACAGAACACTTACCAATCTCTCGATATAACTGAAAAGAAAAATTCTGCTAAAACAAGCGTAAAAATGTTTTGTTTCTGTCTCTCAGTTGTATCGACTTTTTTTCTTTCACTAACTTTCTACAAACTAAACGTTACTTCCAGTTAAAGGCTATGTACAGAAAAAAAACTAAGGGAACATACACATACAAACAAAAAGCTGCTCTGGCTGCGCTGCATTTTGGTTACGAGTCAGCCTTATGTTTTGTCTACCTTAGTTGGTTTGATGTGTTGAAAGAAAGATAACGAGAGAAAATCGCTAATTTAAACCTAATTAAACAATTCAATTCCCATCGGTAATGAACTGAAGGCTCGTTGTTTCGCAAACCGATTTTACAGCTACAAACTTACGAACGAAAAAAAAAACGAAACGAGCGATTAGTTTCCTATAGATCTGTCTCCATTCTATTGGTCATTTGTTTATTGTTTCTTTGAACACCACAATTGCTGTATGTAGTTGTATAACCTTTTTGTATTTAGCAGCGAATGAAAACACCAATGAAAAGAAATCAATAACTTAGATTATTACCTGTTATCATTCTGTGTTCGAAGAATTCAGAAAGCGTTTCTCATTTGCATGCTATTGTTTTGTTCAGGGTTTACTAATAGGTACATTTTATGTTCTCCTAAAGATCTTATTTCCATAAGCAGCAATTTGTTTCTCAGCAACTCCATGCCATGGTCTCATTACTTAGTAACGAGTATTTTTTATTATTTTGTATGAGCGAAGCCATAGCTAAAACAGTCTCGCTTTCCCATCACATTCATTCGCGCATTCTCCCACTCTCTTCTCTCTGGATGCCTAGCTTATACTTAACAGATTTTCGCCTTTTTCTTCGAAAATTTAAAAACCATTAACAAACCAACCTTTACCAGCGTTTCTCCTCAGTTTCAGTTTTCCAACTAAATGACTATATCCTTTTTGTTCTGTTGATTCAGTGCTGTTCTTTGTCTGTGCTTATTCGCTCCGCTTAGTTACAAAATTAGTTAAATATGTTATGATTTTGTTTTACACTTTTTCTCTCCGCACTCTTGCTTCCTAATATCAACAAACTTGTCCTCAATCTTATGACTGATCGATTGACTCACTGACTAACTGATTGATGCGAAATATCGGTGCTCCGCCGTATCCTGCTTGCCAACCCCGCCACCGCCATGACTCTTCCTTTCCTTCCTTGATGTATAATCCTACTGTACTAAAGACTATTTACAAGCATCTATTCGCTCACTTTATCACATACACGCATTTTACAAAACGCACTACAGTCGCGAGCCATATTCAGCATCGCTTTTCAATGCCTCCTCACCACAGGGACCACTTTTGCACAGGGTTTTAGAAGCTTTCACAAAAAAAAACTAAAATTCGAGAAAACAATTTTTTTAAACCTACTCAGAGTTGTTTGAAAGTTACCAAAAACAGAAAAGACTGCGAGAAAACTTCAACGTTTCAAATGATGAGGGATATTTTTTTAAATATTTAATTCTTAAATACCTTGAAAAGTATATGGACATCAATTTCGGGGGTCAGCTAATACATAATTATTTTTTTAGTTAGTCAATATCAACAGGTTCAATAAAACCCCAATGATAGTTTGCCTTTTCAAACCAGTATTGGGGCTACGTTGAGCCTGTTGGTGTTGACAAATAAAAATATAAATAAATCAAGTCGATGATCTATCTTGCCCGCCTTCCTTACCCTACAAACTGGGATTCTATCCTGGTGTTACCGCGAGGCAATTAATATAGGATCAAGTCTATAAGCCAATCCGCATAGTTGCATAAGTCTTAGCTGATGTCGATACCAAGGCCAAGGAAAAGAAATGAAAAGAAGGGGAAAACAACGACAGCTAGCTAACTGCACTATTTACTTAGGATGTATATGCGCTCGAGTAGGATAAACACGCCCACACGCAACATATCTACGCATGTAGATTAAGATTAGTTTTCCCTCTTTGTTAATCATTCAATGTTTAAACGTTACAAATGTTCGAATTAATATTTGTAGAGCCATATCGGATCCGAGTTACAAAACGCAATAAATTCATGAGCATATTGAGAAATCCAATTCGATTAAAACTAGCAGAAATGAGCTTAAAGTTCAGTATTGAGAGGGACATGGAAAATTCCATAAAATGAAAATTCCATAGAATGGAAAATAAAACTAAGTTCGTAGGTTAATCCAGATTCTTCTGTTTTTTGAATCCGAAAGAACTTTCGACCTAGAAGTGAAAACTTCTCTCTTTAACAGGAAAAAAAATTAGCTCCTAGAACCAAAAAACAGTGTCTGACCTAGTAAACGAAAGACTCTCCCTAACCGGAGAAGAAAGAAGCTTTTGGCCGCGACGCCTGGTAAGTTAATAAAATGATGTACTAAATAAATTCGAAACACGTGAACAATTAAAACTTACATTCGCACCGTCGGCAGACTACAGTGGGCTTGTACTGTGACGATATCAACAAGTCCGATATTACCGATAAAAATCGGATCTAAATTAACGATACGATAACCGATATTTAAAAATCCGATATCAACGATAATCGAAATTCGATATCGGTCAGATGTTAATAATCATCGGCATGGCTCTACCGTCGGTGGTGCAGTTTAAGAATCTGGTATACGAAGAATTTATTCGTGACGAGCCAATTAGAAAGATCTCTACCGCTAATTTGGTATGGAGTATGGAGTTTTCATGAGAGGTACTTAGGGCAAGTGAGAAGAGTACGGCTCCATGTTTCACTTGGCTCTGAAACTTCTGTCAAATATCTGTTTTCGAAAACACGACGATGTAGCCTCGAAGAGTGGACTGAATATTTTTACTTTGACTATATGTTTAGTATTACTTCTGCGTGAAGTCAACGATTTACATAGTTGAAGATGCTAATTTCAAATAACAGACTAAAGTGGACTAAACTGCCGCTCTTCGCATGTCGGTCCCATAGCAGTTTTTGTCAAAACTGAGTTTTACAATGCAAATGGTAGCTGATCACTCATATTTTCTTAATACTGGATGAACTCAATAACTTTGTTCTGAAAAAGTTTGGAAAGACAGCCAAATTGGTTGTCTCATCACATAAGAAGCAATGGTACGAATCAAGCTAAAAATGCGATTTTTTCGGCTTGCTGATTTTTGCCATGGGACCGACATGCGAAGAGCGGCAGTAAAGTGGATAGGAGCACATACCGTGGTAGGGGTAACAATAGCTGCAATTTCCAAACCTACGACTGGATGCCTTCCTTCAAATAACAACTGAAGAGCGGTAAAAATCGGTAGAGCTGTTTCAAACACATCGTTGGTACTTGAGCGGTCGGCGTTCATCTATTTTTGCCAGTGGTGGCGGGGACACACACCCCTCACCATCCCTCTCCAAAGGGGGAGTTTGGTAAAGCGAGATGAAAAAAACCGATTTGTACTTTCCTTAAAAGTTGTCCTTGCTCGCTTTCTACTATCTGTATGCAATTTTCACACTGCCGTACTCTAACGGAACTATCAACTCTATACTTTCATCTCCTCCATCTATCGTATAAAAATTACCACTTTAGTCTGTTATTTGAAATTAGCATCTTCAACTATGAATATTTTTGTTTGTGTAATGTCGATGTTGATGTTGATTTTTCAAATGCATTATGAAGTTGGAAGGAAATGAAATATGCTTAATGGATATCGATACTCAAAA